CTCAAAATGTTTCACAATTAATCACTGCCCTCCCAATTGGCAGACCAGAATTTGCTTCACGGAAAGAGCGGATACATAATTTGTCACCAAAGCCTTTGGGTTAGTGGGCATGGAAGACTAAGCCCAAACATGTGATGCTTTATGAGGTGAGGAAATTAAGATTTTGGAGTTGGGCAAGGAACTAAGGGCAGCACTGTCCAGCAAAACTTTGTGACGATAAAAATGTTGTAGTCCTAACATTTTCCTGTACTATAGCTACTAGCCACATGGGAGACTACTGAACACTTAAAATGTGACTAATTTCATAGGGAAATTGAGTTTTAAATGTTATTTAATGCTTTAAAAAGTTTATTTAATGCTTTAAAAAGTTTTAATAGCCACACATAGTCATGAGACAATTTTAGATAGTTTCCTCCAAGGACTGATTTAAAAGGGCATACAGGGATCATTTAAAAAAAAAAAAACTCTATGTATTTAGCACAGAGCTAAAGAAATGTCAGATGTACTGAAAACAATGGGTTGTTGTGTTTTGGCTTTTTCCCCACCAGTCTGACTTGTACCATCCAGAGCCCCATATACAACCCTGCAAGGAACTCTACCTTCCAGCAACCCTGAGGCACTTTAGTCTCACTTCAGGGCTCTCAAGATCAGATGGTCTTTGATGGCCTTCTATTTACCAGCTAAAGAAACTGAGACCCCAGAGGGCCAAAAGACCCGCCCAGAGCCACAGCCAGGTTTCAGCTCTGAAGGCTGCACCAGGTGTTCAACTCCCAAATCCAGGCATCTAAATCCAGAGGTGAAACAAGCCTCATCAGCCCAAAGCACTGTACACCTTTACTTCCAGAACTCACCTATAACCCTACTTTAGGGTTCCTTAGTACAAAATGGACCTCAGGGAAACCTGGCTAAGTGAAGGTAGCCAGTCAGTATTACAGGACAGGGACAGCATGTTTACTACTGATTGCAGCAAATTATCAGACCAAGTGGTAAAAACATCTAAATGGCAAGGAGCTGGACAGGCCACTTAGTATGAAGAGAAGAAAGTTAAGGAAAAGGACACCTTGAAAGCCATGCATGACTGAAAGCCAGTGCTCAGAATGCTGAATGGGAAGACAGCACACTTCACTGCAACAATCTACTTAGAAAGGAGAAAAATCCAAGGATTTTCCTTAGTTCCTCGCACAAAGCCTTCCAGAGGACCTCCAAAACCATACTTGTCAGTTTCCCTACCCTTCAATTTCTATTTTTATTAGTCACTGAAACAATCCTAGTGACCTCTAGCTTTACCCTCTCCTCAACAGTATTCAGAGGCATGAAGATTAAAAGACTAGAGTAGGGAGGTGCTAACTTGCAACTCACCTAGATCAGTAACTGCCAAGGAAAAGGCATCCTCAGAATTTTAGCTCTCACCAGCTCCTTCTTCATCCAGACTCTGCTAACTCAAAACATTCTCATTAATCATGTTGTTCCACAGCCCACATTTAAAATTAGGTCCCAGGATCAGCAATTTTGCTCAGTGGAGTGCCACATACAATGGGTACTTAATGATCATTAGGGTATAACCTGTATGAGTAGTACCCAGGAAGGAATGTAGAAGAAACAGAGCGTGCCCTAGGAAGCAAGGTGTAGGACTAATATTCATCCAACACAGACTAAGAGCTCAAACTGTCTGAGATGATTTCAGTGGACAACAGGCCCATAGATCCTACCACCTCCCAACAGCAGAGGAATACCCTCATAAATGACAAGCTAAAGGTATTAACCCATACCCAAAACAACTTCCCCACAATAACACAATAGACCAAGTTGCAGAGAAGAACTCATTCTAGACCCAGAGGGAAGATTAGAAAAGAGTGGCCTGGGGAGAATGAGCTGGGAGGAATCAGCTAGTCAGATACTTGGCGTGCCCACTCCTCAACACCCTGAAAGATACACATGCTGACTGGGAAGTGTAGAAAAACTAATTTGTTTTCCTTTCCTTCCAACCAGGTTTCCGGATTGGTGGGGGGGAGGGGGAAGAGATATGGTATTTTAATAAAATTCAAATCACTCAAGTGATTCAAGAGAAACTTAAAGTCTCAGGGATCCTTTAGGAGAGGAAAAAAACATGTTTGAGCACCCGTCATACCAGAAAATGTCCCACGTCTCACAAATATCTCAATTTTTCTTTAGGGCAATGAAAGGGAACACTATAAAAACTAAGCCTTCATCTACAAACTATGGTTATGACCTCGCCTACGGCCAAAGTCCATAGATAATTTAAGTTACCATGGAACCAGACAAATTGCATTAAAATATTGGTGATTAGCAACCTTACACTGGAGACACATCAACTTTGACATGTGAGCAAGCTTATTTTAACAGACACTTCCACCATCACCCTGCAATGACCAAGTGTGAAAGTATTTCCTAGAAACAGTTATTCATACAGCAGATTCCAGCTGGGCACAAATCCATTAGACCAGCATTCACATAGGCTTGGAAGAGATCAGAAACAAGCAAATCCTAGGCCACCATCTAACAATATGCATGACAATAGAGCCTATTTAATTCAGGTGGGCAATAAAGTTTTGTGATTTAAACACCTATAAAAGCCAAAGAACCTCTTCTAGGCTGGGGCCACACCTCGTCCAGGGATTTATTACCCAAAACCCAGGAAATCAGTTAAGAAGTTAAAGAGGAAGGGTACAATGTAAATCAAAAAGCTTTCAAAACATAATTTGTTTCCAGTGTTCAGAAAGTCTTAAAAGAAACAGCAGTGGACCACCTGAAGGTCAAGAGCAGGAACCAGTTACAGGATCAAATACAATTGCCCTCTCTTATCGTCAAAGATGTTCTGTACCTTTAAGAGCAAAGTGGCTGGGTGGTGCTTACTAAGAGTTCAAGTTTTGCTTTTTCTAAGTAGTTAAAAAAAAAAACTAATTTGAGAAGGACATAGGTACAACAAGAGCAAGGCAGAGTTACTAGCTGCAGGAAAGAAGAGGTTTTTTTGTGAAGGTGATCAGCAATTGCAACAAAGAAGTTTAGGGGATGGGAGCAGCAAACCAAATAACAGATAACGATTACCAGGGCCAGCAGCCCAGATTTCTCTACAGGAAATTAAACATCCAGTACCCTGTACCTGAGTTATAGAAAGATAGCCAGTTTAACCTCACTAATTGCCCTACCCATACACTCCACCCGACTTGAGAGGCCTCCACTCGCACCTGGAGCGAAGTTCACCGGGTTTGCGTTAGTGGCCGCCCAGGAGCAGGTAGGTAGGTACCCCACCGTCCTGGGCATCTCCCCAGGAAAGAAAGATCGCGAAATGCCCAAGGCTTCCACGCAGTCCAGGGTCGGTTCAGCACTGCCCATCACCGACAGCACCTTTCCTTCCCTGTGCCTCCTTTGGGAACGAGAGCAACCCAGCTCTGGGACTCCAGAGAGTTGACTGCTGAAAGCCCGCCCCCAGACGTCCAGATCGTGGATTCTCCCAGCACATCTGAACCAGTATCCCCGAAATGAGCGTGGTGCCTCCGGACCGCTGGTCGAGCGACGGGGTGGGGGAGGGAGGATGCAGGCGGGGCGCGACACGTGACACACGACACCCCCGGGGTAGAGTCAGCGGGATGGAAGGCCTCCGCCTCTCCGGACACCCTTCCAGGGGCTGCGAATGCGAACCCGGTAGCGACACCAAACCCTTCACCTCGGGGCCCGAGCTCGCTCCAAACCCTCCGCCCGAAACAGGGTTCCCGTCACCACCGGTCTACCTACCAGCCCGTCCTCCCGTTCCTCGCTCCGACCCGACCCCGTCCTCGCCCTCCGCTCCGAGCTCCCTGGCGCTGGCTCCCCGCTCGGGGTTGCCCCCGCCGGGCCTCGGCGAGAGCCAGCGGGGCCCAGAAGTTGGGCGCCACCCGCGAAGTGAGACCCCACGCCAGCATCTCAGGAGGGGCTGCGGGGTCCCCGCGGCCTCGGGGCCCGCCTCCCCCTTGGGCACACCTGGCGCGGCCCACGGCCCGCCCGCCGCCGCCGCGGCTCAGCCTGGGTACACACGACCTTTGAAAAGTAAACGTGTGTGGGGCTGAGCGACCTTGGGTGGGACGCGCTCGGCGCTGCCTCACCGGAGCCTGCGCGCTCGGGGAAAGTTTAGCCGCAGAGGGGAGCCCCGGGCGCAGCGTCCTCGTCCCGCGCCCCGGAGAGGGGAGACGCGGGCGGGGGCCCCCTGGGCTCCGGAGCGCCGCCCGGGCGCGCACACGCGATCTGTCAGCCGAGCCGGCCGGCGGGGGAGGACCGGCTGGCGCGGGCGAGGGCAGGGACGGAAGGGCCTGCTTGACAGCGAGCGGGCAGGCCGGGGCCCCGCCACGCGCGCTCGGCGCCCGGAGCCTCCCGCCCCCGAGGCGCAGCGAGCGCGCGTCACGCCCCGCACCTGCACCCCAGATTCCCCATCACCCCAACGGGGCTGCCCCCGGGGCCCGCGCAGGTGGTTCGCGGGCCCGCGGGCCCCGGCGGCCGCAACTTACCAGCTGCTCCGCGCCCGCCGGGATGCAGACTCCTCGCGCCGCCACCCCCCACCCCGGCCCCCGCCTCTACCCCGCGGCCCGACCCCGCAGCGCCGCGCTCCCGCCGTCCCCCCACGTGCTCGCCCAGGCCGGTGGAACACAGAGACATTAAATACTGAGGACGCGCCGCGACGTGCCCGCGGCGCGACGCAAGGCCCCGCCCCCTGCCCGCCCGCCCCGGCGCCCACCCCGCTCACCTGCGCGTGCGCGCCGCCCGCCGCTCCCGCCCGAGCCTCTCCCAGCTGCGCCAGAGGGGGCGCGGTCTGGAGCGCTCCGCCGGCATCCCGCCGCCGCCGCCCGCAGCGGGCCTCGCCCGAGCTCTCGCGAGAGGAGCCGCGCCGGCGCGGGGCTCGGGAGAGGGTCCCGGCGCCCGCGCGCTGCCCCCGCGAGCCCGCGCGGCTTCCGTGGCCGCGGCTCTGGGCGGCCGCGCGGGCGGGCCGTCGCCCCCCTCGGCGCCGAGAGCCCCCCGGAAAAGACAGAGGACACGGTGAGGGGCAGCGCCCCCTCTGCTTTCCCAGAACCCTCTTTTCGTTGGAAGGCATAATTAGGCGAACGTTAATAATTGCTCGGTAATAACTCGATATTGGGAGCACCTGGCACCCCTCAGATGCGACTTTCTTGTCCTTTTTTCACAACCCGAGGATGTCAAAAGGAAACACCCACCTTTCCTCTAAATGGGTTTGAGTTTTGCAGTGATTCCAGCGGAAAGAGTCATCATCTGGCAGACTCCGCCAGGGCTTTTGGGGAAATAAATTGCCCCCAGCAAGTGGACGGGGTGCGGTTCCCGCAAGAAAGGATGTAAATGAATGTCAGTTGGGTGGTGTGATAGGTGTCTTGAGGAAACAACTAGGAAACCAAAATAAGAAAGAAAGAAAGAACGTTTTAGTTTCTGTGGTTTGCAAAGGCCTGCCTTGAAGTTTAAACTGCAAGCTACTGCCTGAGAAGGAGACACTCCTGCAGATTGTATGAGCATAGGGTTCAGGAGTGTTCCCGGCAGGGGTGACAACACGGGAGGCAAAGCATCTAGTGAACTGAAAGATCAGTGGGCATAGAATATTGGGGTGGCGGGGTAGAAAATGGGAAAGGGGATTGGATACTGGAGAGATTTAAGGGGGTAGCGGTAGGGAACTGAACATCCTTATAAACCACAGTAAAGCCTGAATTTTATTCTGGTCTGTTCAGCCCCAAAGCCAGACATGCTTCCATTTCAGAGCCCTTGCGGTTACTATTCTCTCCAACTGGGATGGTCTGTAGAGCTCACTCTTTCCCCTCTCAAGTCCTTTGCTCAAAATTCACTTAGTGAACCTACATGACCCCCTATTTAAAATTGTGATCAAACACACACTTTCCTGTCTCCCACCTCCTCTTTTTCTTCACAGTACTTACCTCTCTATGTGCGACATCAAGTAGTTTCTTGGAAATGGTGACTTTAAGTGAACTGACTATAATGAAACCAAGTCCTCAAATAATGTCATTTCATTCATGTCAGCAAAAAAAAAAAAAAAAAAAAAGATTTCTTTTTTCTCATTAATGTTATAAAAAATATGTTGAATGAAATGGACATTATTTGAGGACTTGCTGTATCTATTTATTTCATGAGAGAAGGGATTGTTGAGGGCTAGTATGCAGAGGGCACTCAGCAAGAATGTCTTTAGTGAATGAAAAGAAAGCCATTAAAGAGGGTTACATAGAGAGTGACACAACATATTTTCTGTTTTTAAAAGCAAGCTGTAGCTGCTGTAGAAAAGATGAATTAGATGAAGACCAGCCCAGAAGCAGGGAGCTGCTGCTGCAGTGTCCAGGTGAGAAATGATGCTGACCTGAACTGAAAGTCATGGGGGTGAGGGGGAGGAGCAGGAGAAGAGACTGCTTTGGACTCAAGATATATTTTAGAAGGAGTAGCAGCAAGATTCATTCATATTATGGGGTAAGGAGAGTTCACCCCCTCAAGGATGCTTTATCTAGCTTGAGTTATTGTGGAACTGAGGTACAGTTATGGAGATGGAGAAAATGGGAGCAGAGAATTATTTGTTTCATTTTGGACCCATGTAGTTTGTAGTGTTTTTGTGACATCCAAGTACAAGTAGAAATTAAGTTAGATATTCAAGTTTGAAGCTCAGAGGGGTGGTCTGGGTGAGAAATACCGCTTGAAAACCCTGTGAAAAGCAGATATTTTATTTTATTTTATTTTTTAAAGAGGCATGTATTTTATTCATTTATTTATTTTTATTTATTTGTTTGTTTGTTTATACATGCACTGGGTACAGTCAGAAGCACGGGAGGGTGAGGGAATTCACCAGAGCCAGAGCAGGGAGCAGAGCAGGCAGAAGGACTGAAGTACACTGCTGAGGGGAGCAGCGGGCGGCAGGAGAGGTCTGTGCGCCATGTGGGACCCTCCTCTGGTGGCCGGGGAACAGCCGGGGATCGAACCCGCGCTGCAGAGGCCGCGGGCAGCTTCGCAACCCAGCGCTCAACCGCTGTGCCACTGGGGAGGCCCAAAAGCAGATATTTTAAAGAAGAACCATGCCCACATGTTGATGGAGGATAAGAAATATCGATAAGGAGGAAGCTGACAAATGTTCAGAGGCTTAAGTCCTCCAAGTGTTGGTAGGGAAAAAATGGGGAGATGTTAGGAGTAGAGAAAGAGGAATATATGGTGATTAGAAGCAGAGACTGAAAGCAGGAGGCAGGTGAGATCAATAAGTCAGTCATATCCTATGCATGGGGTTCATGGTGAGATAAAAATGATAAGGGAAGTGAAGAGGAGGATACCTGGAATACTAGAGAAAGTACAAGATACAAGTCAAAGAGTAAAAGGTGAGTAAGCGGGATTAACTATAATCACAACTAAAGATCAACCTAGTACTTGTGGCTGAGGAGACGACCACAAGATCAAGGTAATTCAGGGGTTATAGGGTGACCATAACATAAGATTGGAAGGTAAAAGGATGAGAAGGTAGGCAGGGATGAAGGCAATTTTGAGAATGTGTAATCTATAAAAAAAACAGGATTACATTAGTTGACTTTAGTGTCAGCTTGAAATGGACAAAACTCTGCTTATAGGATTTTAACCTAGGTTGCATAAAATGACTTTAAGGACATTCACAAACCCTCTGAAATTGTTTTCACATGGTTTTTAAAATGTATTTTTCTGCCGAAGTAGTTATGAGTAGTTCTGTCAGTTTTCTGTAATCCTGACATAAAAAAAAATGAATCTGGTGAATGGAGCAAGACAGAGGGTAACACTATATCTAAAAAGGAAAGGAAATTATGTCAAAAGGAAACCAAAAATGAAAGCACCCATGGGAGACAAAAAACAAATAAATAAAAACCACACATACACACACAAAAACAAGTGGCCAGTGCTGTGCCTAACTAAGGGAGAAGGAACCCAGTTCCATCTAACCCAGACACTTGTACTTTCTGTACTCCCACACCTGTGTGTGCTCCTCATGCAGAACCAAACTTGGGAGTTGGTGGACCTATGTGTGCCTTGGAAATGCTCACCTGCAACACTAGTGTTGGTGCCAACACCACAATCCATCCAGATGATTGTGACTGAGGTTGCAAAATGGCAGGCAGGCCTAAAGACCTTTTTAAAATCTATGCTATCTGTGGGACCATTTACAGGATGTCCGAGTCAGATGACTCCATTCTCCAATGTCCAGGGCCAGTGTCATTGTCTCAAAGAACACCTGGTTGAAAAGGATCACAGATGTGGAATATTTGTCATAAATAAATAGTAACACCCCTCCCAAAAGAAACTTGCCTCTGTTATAGTGAAAATGGTCAGATCAGAATGTAATGCTATTATTCCTTTATAACTTGTAACTCATTCCCCTCATTCTGACTCCATATCCACCATATACACTTCTGTTTCTTCTCACCAAGGACAGAAGCTATGGTTGGACATAAGAAAGAAAGTGCTCCCTCTAACAGACTTTTTGTCATTGTAAATTGACATCTTGCACGCCTTGTAAATTTTTTTGTTTGTTTGACTCAACTTTCAGCTCGGAATTCAAGCATTCTGAACTTGTTATAAGTTGAGTGAAGGTTTAATACAGGCCCATGGGAATTTCATCAAAATATCACATTATGGGGCTCTTCTAAAAAGTCATCTAGCTGTCTTCTCTTAACAACCCCTTCATCTTCAGAGGGCATGTATTTTTAAATTGCCCTGCCCTTTCTACTGAAACTACCTACAGAAGGAACATTTTTAGTGCAAATGATCATGAACTGTCTCCCTCATGAACAAGAGTAAAGGAGTGTCTTTTATTCTTTCAGTTTAACTAAATAAATAAATAAACCTAAGCCCCTCCATGCTCCACCCTACTTCCAGTTCCCTTAAACTGAAGAAGCCTTTGGTTATGCCCCAAGACTATGTGTGTCTGCAGGGAAGAATAAATGATCTAGTCCCAGGGAAGTCAATGGAGAGAGTTGAGGGATGACAAAACTAATAACTAATATTTAATGAGTTCTTAATGCTTGGCACTGTGCAAAGTACTTTATCTTAATCCTCTACCAACTTCAAAAATGAGATATTCTTACTGTACTGTATTTCCATTTTATGGACTTTAGTCACATAGCAGCAGAGCAAGATTTTAAACTAAGTGATCTGCTGGAGCTCATGGATGACCAACTCACTATACTTCTGCTGAAGACAGAGACAGACTCTGAGATCCAGGGAATAGTTTTATACATGAACTTGTCTGCTATAGATTGAATAATGCCCCCCCCATATCTAAGTATATTAAAATCCTAGTACCCAATACCTCAGAATGTGACCTTATTTGGAAATAGGGCTATTACAGATATAATTAGTTAAATTGAGGTCATACTGGACTTGATTGGGCCCCTAATCCAATATGACTGATGTCCTTATAAGAAGATGGCCATGTGAAGACAGATAAACAGGGACAACACTGTGTGGACACAGAGGGTTGGATCTATGTATCTATAAGCCAAGAAATGTCAAAGATTGCCTTCAGGCCACCAGAAATGAAAGAAGCAAGGAAGGATTCCTCCACAGGCTTCAGAGGGAGTGTGACCCTGCAGTCACACTGCTTTTATACTTCTCCATAACTGTGAGGCAATAGCAGGGTGCTGTGCTTAGTTATAGCAGCCCTAGGAAACTGATTCACTATCCTTCTTTCTTGTACCCCTGGATGCCAGATGGTACAGGCAAATATGAAGTCACTTGGCAGGTGATAAAAGGAAGCTGTCCCTTTCCTTCCAACTGGACCCTAAGTGCCATGGCCTCACAGGCAGAGCATCCAAGTGACTATGGTTATGGGGCCTCAAATAGGCACCTCCCTGGCTCTGGCATCAGCACCATTACATGCTTCTAGGAGAATTCTCCAGCTACATATTTAAGATCTTAGTTCTGGATGTATGGTGGTGTCTGGCAGGGTTGTGACTAGCCGTTTCCCAGTGCTTTCTCCACTCTCCAGCTTCTCCCAGTGCAGTTCAGTTTGGAAGTAGAACCTAAGAAACTGAAAGCAGCTTCAAGCGGGTGAAGTCTATCTAAAGTCAATTTAGGTTCTTCAACTACAGCCAAGCTCATGCATGTAGAGAAGCAATTAAATCATCAGAAATGTTACCTGCCTCATTTTACTCCATGGAAGGTATCTTTTTCTGGATCAATGGTTGGGATCCCTCCAAGAGGCCACCTAGCAATGCTGGGTGCCTGTGGTGGGTATTTGAATTGTTTGGACTCCGTAAGAAAACTGCAGTAGGCCTCTGTGGTGAGGTTTATAATCTGTCGTTGCAATGCTAATTTAGTTAGTTTGCATACTGTGCACCATTACAGATGGGATAGCCTGAAACAGCAATACCCAGAAGTCTCAAATAACTGCAGGGAAACAGAAACTTCCCTGAGGATGAGACATTTGGTCAAGGTGACCCATCTCTAATAGTGGTGGGGCAGAACACATAGCATTATGGGAGTAGGAAAACACTGCACCCAAATTTTCCGTTGCCCCCCAAACTCTACATACTCCATACCATTTCACTGAAACTATTTGCTTACTCTATTCTAAAACCTGGCAAGTTTCTTAGTAACCTTTGTCCTTGATCAGCACTGCAATTTCCTGCAGACTAATATTTTCTACACAGCATTGCCACTAGCCTATACAGTAGCATTGTGCAAATTAGGCAATAGGTGTCCCTCCCCTGAGACAGGCACAGCCACGTTCCAGACTCCGTAGTGAGCAGAGTGCAATAACACAGCCTGGATTTCAGCCACCACTTGCCCTTGGGCTGGATATACTCATAGAGAACACAATGTACACAACCCTCCATGATATCTGCACAGTTGGGAGTGAGTCTTAACAGAGCTAGGACTGTTCTACCCTGACTCAAGCCAGCCAACCAGACCTCTGGGGATCCATGCCCCACTGCAATGGCTCTACTCATTTCTTTACTGCTAAAGCTTATTGCCTAGCTCTGCACAGGTACTTTAGAAGTCCTTGTAACCTCAAGTAAAGGTTACCTAGCATCTCAATATCCTCATCTGTAAAATATGGATAATAATAGGAGCTACTTCATGTGGTTGCTGTGAGGGTAAATGAGATCACCCATATAAAATACTTTGTGCAATGTTAAGCAAAAGCTACCATTCCAATTCAAGTGTTTTAATCAACCAAGAGCAAACAAGATTCATTCAATGACAGTGTATTAAACAAGTATTTTGTGCCAGGCCTCATGTATGATGCTGTGGTTACCAAGGTGAACAACCCCAATCTTGTAGGGAAGGCAGACATGTACATATATAAAAGCTGAGTGCAGTGGGATCAGTGTGTGA